GGGTCTAGATAGTTTGCTTCTTCAAGGACCGTTGGAGCTGGAAGGCCACCACCTTCTCAACAACCTTCCCCAGGAAGGGAAGGTTGGAGACTGGACGATAGCTATTAAGAACATAGGAGGAGCCTGCCTGCTCCTTTCAGAATTATTCTTGCAGAACAAATATTTTGGATCTACCTTGTGACCTCCTTCCCTGAACCTATTAAAAGCTACAGTACAAATATGAATTTATAACGTTTTCAAAATATGCACAAACTTTTGTGATAAATAGTAACACAGCGAATTCCCCATTTGTGGTGCCAAGGAATGCCTTACAGTTTGTATGGGTTGTTTGAATATTATTAGAATTATTAGAATGAGTAAAAGTTTGTTGCAGTTAATATATGTGTTTATATGCATATGCACACCGACATGCCAGTTATGAGGAAAGCAATTGTGTCTCAACATAAAACCATTTGCATTGTGCTTCAACTTGCTTTGTGTAATTGTCATTAAGGGCCTTGCTAGAAAAAATATTATTAAATATTTTAGAACTATATTCCGGCATTTGTGATATATGCCAAGATAATCTGTGATATGAAAAAGATGGATTCAGAATTTTTCTCAATATTTTTTTTCATTTCTTCAACAAAAAGAAATTTAAAAAACCAAATTTACCTTTAAGGAAATATTGCATAGTAATATTTAGCGGGACCAGCCAAGGGGACAGTAGTAGAAACTTAAGAATTCTAATATTATAACAAATGATAAAATATTTGCTAAGGCAGATTATCTACCAAAGTAGACCTGGTTACTTTTTCTCCTTATAATTAAACCTAAATTTGGATTGATGTGACTCTCCAGAGTTTCTTCAGAACAAATGCCATTTACTGTGGAGATCCAGAAAAGCTCTGGAATTGAAATTTCTTTTATTTGTTTTATCATTTTTAAAGCTTGGGCAAGACATGAAAAGCTACAAAAATAGTAATAGCAGGATTTATTTTTGATATGAGTAATACTTACCTGCTCCTGGGATAAACATTGCTAGCTTGCTTTATGTGCTTCGTTTTCTTTGGAGCTCTTTGAGGCCTTGATCTCGGATTAGGTGGGGGGGGGGGCACCGAGAGTCATAGTCTACTTTTTTGATCATAGGAGGCTTTTAAAAAAAAAGTTATGTAGCTTACAGTTGTCTGCTTAGTCACTTTAAATGAAGATAGCAATAGCATTTAGACTTATATACCGCTTCATAGGGCTTTCAGCCCTCTCTAAGTGGTTTACAGAGTCAGCATATCGCCCCCATAGTCTGGGTCCTCATTTCATCTACCTCGGAAGGATGGAAGGCTGAGTCAACCTTGAGCCGGTGAGATTTGAACCGCTGAACTGCAGATAGCAGTCAGCTGAAGTGGCCTGCAGTACTGCACCCTAACCACTGCACCATCTCGGCTCAATTCTCAAAA